AAAGGGTGGGGTATACTTCAAAGAAATAAATATGTGCATAATTAGCAGTTCTTCAGAGATAGCTCAGGAATCTGGCTGCAGAGCCAGAGTTTGTGAATTGGGTCTGCACTGTTTCCCAGAATAGCCAGCCTGTGTGGCCTTGGGCAAGCTGGACAATTCCAGGGTATCCTCAGAAGAAGATAAGAGTAAACCACTTCTGAATATTCTCTACCTAGAAATTGGATTGACATAAATCGGAATTGACTTGATGGCACGTGATTATTATTATAAATAGTGATATGGTAGAATGATTTGTATAATCGGTTTGCTTTTTAAAAAAGATCTGTGTGCATTGTCCAAAGGAAAGATTATGACAGGACCTGAAGCACAGTAAAGAAATAATGGTAATACTAATGCCCATAGTTTGAAAAAATTAATTAGCACTGTCTCATTAAAATTTTCAACAATCAGCGTAAGTTTAATTTTTACTCTTAAACAAAATTGACATTAATTTATTCAGTAACAATTAATTTTTTCATGTTATTTCAATTTGATTTTAGTTTCAGTCATGTTTGTTGGTTTGTTTTCAGACTTTATGATCTGAGACAGAGCCCATGACTGCATTGCCCCTGTGATGGGTTTTAGGCATATCTTCTGTCTGTTGGGGGCTCTGACTAGCCAGAACTGTGTGGACTGCACACTCATCCTGTGTGAAGGGAGGATGAAGGCCCGCCCAAAACACACCCAGTACTCTCTCCTATGGCTACATTATGGTAGAGAAATAGTTGGGATATGGGAATTAATTTTGGGATAAAAATATAGATGTACATGAATAAGGGTTCCCAGTGGGTAGAATGATGGAGTAGGACTCTGGAGAAAAAGGTTCAGATTCCTGCTTAGCCCTGGAAACTGACTGTGGGAGTGGAACTGGTAAAACCATTTCTTAAATAATTCACTTATCTTGAAAACTCTGTTACGATCACTATATGTTAGTTCCAGCTTGACAGGACATAACAACACATACATGAATAAAAATTAAGGAGTAAAAATATTTAAAATATTAGCCATTGGTAATAACAAATGCTCATGATTACTAACTTTTGTAAGAGCAGGTTCTTTTTCTAGCATATCAGGCTAGATAAAGAAGACAAAACCATGGTAGCACTTTAAAAATTAACTGCTATATTTTACAGTGAGCTTTTGTGGACAAGTCCACTTCCACATTTATTTTTATAAGAATATTTTTTTCAAGTTTTTTTCAAGTTTCAAGTTTCCCCTTCAACTTCTCTGACTTTGTCTTGAGGTTCTGGTTTTTGATAACACGATAATACAGCAGCTTAATATTCAGTCCCTGAAATGTTGTGAATGTTAAAAAAAAATTTCCCGTTTTGAATAAGTGGTTAACTTTGAGCTTCCCCCAAGAAGTAGACCTTTGGTCTAGATGGGTGGGATAGAAATCTAATAAATAAATAAATAAATAAATAAATAAATGAATGAATAAATAAATAAATAAATAAATAAATCTTCTTCCAAATACAGAACCAGTGGATTTAGCAGAATGATATTAAATCTCTGTATATATGGCAGGGGGAGGTTGTGCTCATGAAAGAGATTTTCTCTGTTGAACTGTACTGGACCATCTGTTGTTTAGAAAAGAAATCAGCACCTCTGTGCATAGGAAATCTTACTGTTTTAAGGCCACTGTCATGTTCTCCCCGTGCCCCCTGTTTACTATCCTTAAACAAAGGCTCACGTTGCGTGAGCCACTGGTTCTTAACCTTTGTTATTCTGATGTTTTTGGACTGCAACTCCCAGAAGCCTTCACCATCTGCTCTGCTGGCTGAGGTTTCTGGGAGTTGCAGTTCAAAAACACCTGAGTAACAAAGGTTAAGAACCACTGGTGTAAACCATTGGATTACTTCAGTCCACAATATAATTGACATATGTCTGAAAACGTGTCATGTGAACATTCTGCTTGAAGTGAAGCAGAATGAATAACATAAGTCTTTCAGTTATTCAGTGTACACAAGCATTTCATCATCAGTTCCCTCATTACATAGTTTTTCTCAGCTTACAGTCTCATTACCACCCTCTCTAACCATCCTATCTAACTCCTCCTTCTCCAGCCAAGCCTCATGTATCATCCTGACTCCGCCTCTCCAGTCCTCTCATAGGATTCATGTAAACAGCTCATGTATATGAGATACATGGGTGGTCGCCACAGTCACAAATTCAAAAGCCTCCTTTTTATTTATCTTAAACTGCAGTCCATTCCATAAAATTTCTTCAGTTTTGCGATCCCTGTGAGGTACCAGATGAGAAGCAGTGAGTTAAATCAGCAAGGGAAGGAGACAGAAAGTAAGGGGAAATGAAGAGTACCACTGAATTTTCATATGCGTTTTGTAAGTACAGTAGTGCCTCGCTTAGCAATGTTAATCCGTGCAGAAAAAATCACTGCTAAGCGATAACATCACTAGGCGAAAATAAAAAGCTCATAGAAACGCATTAAAATGTGATTAATGCGTTCCTATGAGCTAAAAACTCACCTTTAAGCAAAGATCCTCCATAGGGGTGGCCATTTTCGGTGCTTCTAACGTGAGGAAACACAGCGGGCGGCCATTTTGTTTCCCGGCGGCCATTTTGAAACCGCTGATCAACTGGCCGAAAATGAAGGCTTTGCGATGATCACTTCCCTGCGAACATCGCAAAGCAAAATTTCCCCATAGGGATCATTGCAAAATGATCGCTTTTGCGATGGCAAAAAGTCCATCGCAAAGCTATTTCATCGCTATATGGAGCAATCGCTATGCAAGGCACCACTGTAGTAGGTTATAAGAGTGTGTGAGAGCTCTGTTACCCCAGCAAAAACATGGTTACAATGGTCACATGGCAATTTCCTCCTCTTATTATCTCCTCATTCTCTGTTTATTTTTTGGGGGGTAGTGTCCAGGTGCTCTACTCCACTGGTTCTTAACCTTGGGTTACTCAGGAGTTTTGGACTGCAACTCCCAGAAGCCTTCACCACCAACTGTGCTGGCTGGGGTTTCTGGGAGTTGCAGTTCAAAAACATCCGAGTAACAAAGGTTAAGAACCACTGCTCTAGTCTAACATAACCATCGTGGCACCAAGCTGTTTAAAAATAAATGAAAAGGAAAGGAGGTCATTATTTGCAATGATTCAGCCTTCTCTGCCATCTTGCCATCTTGCCATCCACCAGCACACACTTTTCTGCATGAGTTCCAGTGATCACTCTGTCTTAACCTATGCAAATGTATCCTATGAGGAAGAAAAAGCTACTGATGGCGGGGGGACTCTGAGATGATTTGCATTTCCTTTTGAATCATGTGCTCAATAACAACAAAAATACAAATCAGACTGCCCCAGTCCCATAGCATTTCCTGCATTTTTTGTCAAAGTAGTCCCACTTTTGGATTCCCTGTGTGTTGTAGTGAATAGAGTGACAGACTAGGACTTTGAAAAACAAGGTTTGAATCTTTTCTCAGCCATGGAAACTCACTGGGGGTGTGGAACTGGTAAACCATTCATTAAATATCTCACAGTGGTGCCTTGAGTGCGAACTTAATTCATTCCGGATGATGGTTGTAACTCAAGTTGATTGTAACTCAAAGCACCATTTCCCATAGGAATACACTGAAAATGGATTAATCCATTCCAGCTGTTTTTTGGCTGTATCTCAAGTCACTGGTTGTATCTCAAAGCGTTAGTTCTCATTGGAACTAATGCAAAAGCAGTTAATCCGTCCACTGGGGGGATAGGTTTTTTTAACCTGAGATGACTTCTAAGGTTAAAAAAAAAGGGCAGGAAAGGAGGGAGGGAGGGAACAATGGGGAAAAGAGGCCTTTTTTCCACTTGTATCTCAAAGTGCCGGTCAAAGCAAAATGTTGCAACCACAGCTGGTTGTAACTCGAATTGGTTGCAAGTCAAAATAGTTGTAAGTTGAGGCACCACTGGAAAGCCCTACTAGGGTTGCTATAAATCTTTTCCAATCTGATGGCACATAACAACAACAGTTACATCTGAAGTCTGGTTCCCCACACTTGAATTAATGGACTTCAGCAAAAGGATTTGGAGCAGTTGGAGATCTGAAGTGCATTAAATTTTGGGTGGGACTTAGAATATATACATCATCTTCTGTATGGAGCAGCTCAATGGATATGGTTCCTGTTTCAATTGTAATGTCAGTGTATTCTCTACATGAAAATAAAAGTGTGATATACTTGTGTAACATAATCCAGGCCAAATATGGTTGCAGAACATGTTACACAACAGGTCCCATAATCCTTGACCATTGGTCATATGGGCTGGGAAAGACACAGAGTTGTACTGCAACACCATCCATTTGGGAAGGACTACTAGGATGGATGGAGGAATGGAGGGATGACAATAAGATAGGGCATAATTTATTCCAGCATGCTTTGATCCTGTATTTCAGGGTTGAATGTTCCTGTCAATACAAGGATGAAGAATCAGATAACCAGATTTGAGTTTCATGAAAGAGTATCCCATGATTATATTTCATTTGTCTTATTATTATTTCATTTCTACTACCAGAGAAGAAACAAGTGCTTGTGGATTTTCTGCCTCAGACACCGGCATGATTTGACCAGCCTTGTTTAATGCACATCTTTACTTGTGACAGAAGGTGCTGCTGTGCCTCAAGCAGCTAAATGTCTTGAGCCAGCCCTTTGATCGAACTACCAGAGGGCCAAGGATATGTTATATACACATCTGTATCAAAAGCTGTTTTGCCTAACTGAAGTATCCTATGGGACACTTTCTGTGAGCTTCTTCTGGTAGAACTTGACAGACTGACCATTTCAGCACCTGATGTTCACCTTGATTCCTTCCAATGCTGAGACACAGAAACCAACATATCCTGTGAGATGTGCAGTAACTCTAGTTATGTCAAGTTGACTGATATTGTACCAAGAAGAATTAAGATAGCTGAGCAGTGTAATGATAACGATTGGTTGATTTTTCTTTTCCTCTCTTCTTTTTAGTTTTGGAAAACTCTAAAGCACAAGACAAAAAAGCAGCTTCATCCAGCCGCCCAACCTCTGCAGCTTTAGGACAGAACACAAGCAACACCGGAGCAAGACCAGGTACCTTTTTATATCTATTAATTGCTTTTTTAATTATGTGGTAGCATTGGCAAACTGCCTGAGGCAACCTGATTGTGGGACTCCCACTTCAAGGAGGCTTGCTTAATATCTGTTTAATAATTATTCAGGAATTAGGTAAAAAGATTTTAATTCTCATGGATATTTGTTATGAAATATTTTGTTTTAAAATAAAAATTACTAGAGCTATATAGCTCAGTGAGGTAGAGCCCCTGACAGCAGAGCCAGGGGTAGGAAGTTCCATGAGGAGAGCCAGACAAGATCACCTGAAACATAGGTGCCCTGACACCCATATGGCCTTAGTCAGGCTGCAAAATAGCACAGTGCTTTCAGGAAGAGGGACTGGGAAATGACTTCTGAATATTTAATACCTAAAATGCCTTGGGAACGGTTGCTGTAAGTTAGAATTGACTTGGCACCACATCATCATTATCATCATTTTGAAATACTGTACAAGATGGAAGATTTTATGTTTCAAAACGTGCATTGTTTGACTTTTTATTTTGCTGTTTTGATTACGCAGTGTGCCACTTTGTGGGGATTTTGTAGTTTAAAGTTCCATCTTGTGGCTATTAAGGGATACATGAGTGATGTTTAACATAATCATTATTTTAGTACAATCATGCATTCTCCTGTGATTCTCCTTATAATCATCCCATTGTTATGTGATTCTCTCTGCGCAGGCGTGGAATGCCTTAAGACTGATAACCACACGACGCCTCTATGGCCAAATTCTTATCTTATGCTAATTTTGCTTGTTTTGCGTGCTTAATAAAAACGTCTGGGGGGAAGAAGGTAGCCATCTTAATCTTCATCTTCTTCTTCTTCTCTACCGGTACCTGAATACTAACAAGATAAAGTCTGCAGTGTCTTCATTTATCAGAGATCTCTCCCTGGTTTTCATGCAACTGCTGCTTGGCTGGTTTCCAAGCAGGGTTCCCTGGGGATTTCCCCACACCACTTATATTGTTTTTTTTAAATTTGTTACTATGTGTTTGATTACCACTTTGTTTCAAATTGTAGCATAAACATCACTGGGATAAATAAAGGTAGCATTTGAAAATCTGAAATTCAATGAACATATCCCGTTTTAACATATCTCTCCGGGAGGTAGAGGAAGACAGGAGGGCCCGGCGTGCTCTGGTTCATGGGGTCACGAAGAGTCAGACACAACTTAACGACTAAACAACAATAATCCCATTTTCAGTGTGTTACTGTTGCATGCCTACATATGCATACATTTTTAGTCACACTTGTTACTGTACTTTTCTGTTCTAATGTAGAAAAGGCAGAAGTACTCAGTTCCTGTTTTAGTTCAGTCTCTTCCCAAAGAACAGAGATGATGACTCTCCAGACAAATGTGAAGTGCATGTGGAAGGGACAAGATTGCAGCTGTTGATTGATAAATAATCAAAGAAATATCTTATTAATGTATTCTCAAAGGCTTTCACGGCTGGGATCCGATGATTGTTGTAGGTTTTTCGGGCTGTTTGGCCATGTTCTGGATGTTTTTTTTCCTAATGTTTCGGCAGTTTCTGTGACCGGCATCTTCAGAGGACAGGAGTTAGAACTCTGCCTGTGTTCTAGTGTAGTGTGTGACAAGAACAAATCCTGCCAGATGAATCTGATCTCATTGTTTGATCAAGTAACCTCCCTGATAGACAGAGGGAATGCTGTAGACATAGTATATCTTGACTTCAGCAAAGCTTTTGACAGTGCCCCATGATATCCTGATTAGCAAGTTAACTAGGTGTGGGCTGGATAGAACAACTGTCATGTTAACAATGTGTTCTACAGTACTATAATGTCACATAATAATCTTCCCCAACATTTGATTTGACAATTCTCATCATTCCCTTGACCTTGCTAGCTGTGGATAACAGGAATATAGTCCAACACATTTGGAGAGTGCTAGGTCACTGAAGGCTGTCATAGACCTAGTACGAAGGAAGAGTAATACAAGTAATTATGAGAAACTGACAGGAGTTTTCTCATCCCATTTGTATTTTTTTCTGCAGCTGCCCAGTTCTGAAAATACTTATTCCTGAAAATAAATTTCCAAGATTCTCCTCAAGGACCTGTACTCTGTGTCATAGAAGTGTGAAAACGTTGTCAGAAATGCAGTCTAGAAATATCAAAACATTTTGTCAGGAAGGCATTGTTACATAACAGCACTGATGTTACCTGTCTGTCATGGGTTTGGAGGGAAAGTTCCATCCTATGGGGAGAGGAAGGCGGGACATCAGGAGGAGGGGCTGTACTGTATAAATATGTGAAACCTGTGTGGTGAGAGGAGATGCTGAGACAGACTGTGAGACACTGGGTTGGGACGAAGCAGCAGCTGGGGAAGAAGAAGCTGTTGTGGGAGTCTGGGTGTCTGACAAAACTGTGGATTTTGTGTGTAACAATGCATTACTGAAATTTTTGCATCAATTTATTGTTTCTTGACACACTTTATAGTGGCATATTTATAGCATAACTCTGATCTATTCAAACATCTGAAAAGCAAGAAGCAGTCAGAGAGGTGTACCCTTGAGGCCTGACCGGATCTGAAGTATGGACATTGTCTCTACTTCTGTTTCCCTTACTTGCCAGGACTGAAACATAGATTTTGCTTTACTTAAAGCAATGACCTTGCTTCGTGTACAATTGTATAACACTCCAGCAGTACATTTCCTTTCCTTCTTTTATAGCACTTGGCAGGCACAGTGACAAATAAATCAGAGAAGAGTTATGTTTCCTTAGGCATATGCATTGGGCTCACAGTCAACTTTTACAGCCATCTCAGTGGCATTTGTTGTGCAGAGCAGATATGTCTTCAGGCAAGTGGGGACTGAACACTGCAACAAGGATAGATTGAAAATATCCGTAAAAACTCCAGCTAATTTTGCAGCACAGCCCCTAATAACTCGTCCCATGATTCCATCTGCCTTTCGAACGTTAATATTCTGGAAAGCGCGTCTCACATCTGAAATCTGCAGTACTAGTGGTTGTCTGTTGATGCTAGATTCTAGTGATGTATTATAGACAGTAGGTGCTGGAATAATGGTTGTTCCTGTTTCCACCACAAAACAGCTGAAAAATTGATTTAACTGCTCAGCCAAAAAATCACTGCTGCTACACAGACTGTTTTTGTTACTCTGCCCCGTGATTTGTCGTAGGCCATGCCATACTCGACGAGTATCAGAACTCTCAAGATGTTGCTCAATTCTCTGGCTGTACATAGCTTTGGCATCCCTAATGCCCCTTTTCAGTTTAGCTGTGGCTTCTCTGTACTGTAATTCATCACCAGAATGAAAAGCAGCATTTCTGGCTTTTAATAAAAGGCGCACTTCTCTGTTTAGCCAAGGCTTGTTATTAGAAAACACTCGTACTTGTCTGGTAGTAGTAACAACATTGATGCAGCTTTTGATATAAAACAGTACTGTCGAGGCATAAGTAAAAAATAAAATAATAAAAAAAAACTAGTTCTGTGCCACCATCTAACTACTGTTAACATGACAAGGCTATCTTACCCTGAAGCCCTTTGCATCACCTAGACACCTACTCTGGACAATAGCTTTGGAGCAGGTTTCAGGGGCTCCTCAGAGGGCAGGGTGGAGGTGAAAGGTAAAGGAAGGATTACTCCCTCCCAGTTCTGCTGAAAGAAGCAGGTGTGTACTGGATCCTGGCCAGTGTCTGCATAGGTTACACTGTCCGTTGGGGTTCACATGACTGGATTTGCTTCCATAGAAAACAAAAGCTTAAGGAAGGATAGGTTAGAACTTTTCATTCTGATGTAGGGATTTCACTATTCTAAGGATGTTAAACTCTTTAAGCATTCAGCCACCAGGAAGCTTATTGAGGACTATGCTTTAAACACTGTTAGATGTCATACATCAGAATTGTTCATCAGGAAAACCTCAAGATGTTTTGGACTAGATCTCTTACCGTCTGTATTGTCTGGGAGGTGTCAGCCAACAAATCTGAAGCTGTCCTCCCGGAGAAGGGTGCTATACATTAAAACAAGAACTTAGGGGAAGAATAGGTTAGAACTTCGTGTTCAATCTTAAACTGGGCAGATTCCTCTTGTGTGCTTCTGGTTTTCACTTGCCTGTTAATTTATTTTAATACCTTGCATTTTCTAACATGATGCCTTCAATTACCTATTATTTTGCAGACTCTGCACCAGTACTGAAAGTTGATGAGCGACAGCGGCTTGCCCGAGAGCGGAGAGAGGAACGGGAAAAGCTGCAAGGTGAGTCATGCTTACTATGCTGTCTAATTGGCTGACAGTTCTCATGGTTTGTAATGTGCCATTTGTTTGATGTTTACATCACAGAATGTAGAAAGCTGCTTCATATGACATCAAACTATTGGTCCATCCACCCCTGTATTGCCAACTCCAACCAGTAGCGGCTGTCCAGGGTTTCTCGTAGGATTCTTTCCTAGCTGTATTTGGAATGGGGAATTCTACATGTGAAGTGTGAGTTTGGTCACTGTGCTATAGCCCTTCCCTTTGAGCTGTAACCTCTCCACATATATGTAAAGCAGCATAATGTATGAGAATGTAATGAAATTAAGACATGTCCCCTTTTGCCATAAGGGAAGTCCTTAGAATCTTAAGAAGAACCACCTGATGTCCAGTGTGGCTCTACCATGCAGGTGTTTCATGAGCTCTAGCATTAAGCTGGAGTCTGCTCACAGATGTCTTATGATTAGACATGGGATATTTGTATTCATGTCCCTGGGGATACAAATAGAATATTGGCACCACAGGTGCCTGGGAAATCCAGTCCCTGCCCTCCCCCAAGCCGGCAGGTCCAGTTACTGGTCATGTGCACTGGCGTGCACTGGTCCATGGGGTCACGAAGAGTCGGACATGCCTGAACGACTAAACAAACGACGGCAGTGTGTGTGGCCAATATCATTCCCATTGCACCAACCATGGAAGTAGCCCAACCAACACTTCCCTGCCTCTTCCTGCAACTGACCGCTCAACAGCTCAGCTGGGAGACTCATCATCCAGCCTCTTCACCAGATAGGTCAGCTGCATGAGGAGGCAGGGAAGCTCAGGCTGTGCTACTTCCGTGATTGATGCAACAGGAACAATGCCAGCTGTGTGCACCACAGTGACTGATAATTGGACCTGCTGGTTCAGGGGGAGGAACTGAACTTCTCAGGCACGTGTGGTGCCAATATTCATATTCATATCCTCTGAGATACAAATACGAATATCCCATGTCTATTTATGGTTCACTCTTGGGGCTCTAAATATGGCAGAGAGGAGTAATCCAAGCCTTGTTCTCATGGTCTATGCTAGCTATATCCTACATACTGAAATTAGTTATCTGGACGTACACTGACACAGATTGTGATACTATGCCTTATGAATGCCTTGATAGGACCCTAACTGCACTCAAATCCAGAAGTTAGAGACCCAAAATACAAACTTGGCCATGGTGTCAAAGAGCACAAGCATCCAAAGAAGACTCTCAGAAAGGCTATTTTGTCCTAAATGAGTATCTTGTAGGGCAGGAAAATTCTCAATGTAATAAATATGGAGGGGGACACACCTTTTTTTGACCCAGAGATTTATTTCTCATTTGGGGAGCATTCAAGAGGCCACATACCAGGGGGCAAGGGGTGAGGTGGGGTGAAGGAAGTATTAATGTACAGTGGTGCCTCGCATTACAATGTTAATTCATTCCAGCGAAATCGCTGTAGAACGAAAACATCGTAAAGCGAAATTAAAAAGCCCATAGAAACGCATTAAAATCTGTTTAATGCGTTCCGATGGGCTTAAAACTCGCCGTCCAGCGAAAATCCTCCATAGGGCGGCCATTTTCGCTGCCTGTCTTGCGAGGAATCCGTCCCTAAACACAGCGGGGAGCCATTTTATTTACCCGGCGGCCATTTTGAAACAGCCGATCAGCTGTTGGAAAATCGTCGTTTTGCGAAGAATCAGTTCCCGAAGCAGGGAACCAATCATCGCAAAGCTAAATTCCACCATAGGAAACATCATTTTGTGATCGCAAAAAGTTCATTGTAATGCGATTTCGTCATTAAACGAAACGATCGTAATGTGAGGCACCACTGTATTCATAAAGTCGATAGGGCCATATGTACTTCATACCAAGTAGGATATGTTCAGACATTTTACACATTATTCACCAAGCATATAGCATATAGCTCCTATTATAGCTGTTATAGCTACGATAGTATACTTATCCATTATAAATTTGTCCCATTCCTTTTAAAAGCCATCTAAACTACTGGCCTTTATTATATCTTGTAATATTGAATGTCATACAGGGAGTTGTTGGCATGGGAAACAGACTGCGTTCTGCTCTCAGAGGTCTCTCTGTCAACTTTCTCTGCCTCTAAATCTGCATTCTGCAACAAATGGAAATTTGCTTTATAGTCTAAATGTAGCAGCATGCAGATTGTCTAGTTAGAATGTGAAATAATTAGGTTGCTTTGCATTTTGTTCCATCACAAATGCCAAAATAAAGAAACATCAACAGGATCAGCTGAAGGTAAATGCACTGCTGCTATTATCCGCTGTTATCAGCTATTTAAAACATGGCAGGTTGACAGTTTTCATACTGAGAAGGGTGGTTTTCTTTTTTTTTCAGAAGGCTGTTCTCTGATGGGAATGCTTTCCATGCAAAGGAGAACAAACATAATTATATCAAGCTAGTTTATTTATCACAGTGTCCATTAATTTCCTTGGAGATTACAGTTTTCTGAGACAATATGAGATTTCCGTGGTAGTTCTAAGCCCTTTCATAGAAGTACAGTGAGTTTGGCAGCTGGATGTATTTTAAACATCCAGCAGCACTGTACCTTTAGCCATTCATTTGCTCTTCAAAACTGCAGGCCTGCTTAGAAGCATCTGGACTGCAAGTGAGAAAGAGGAGCTAAAGACAGCTTGGCATTTTTAGTTTTTCTTTCTACCTTTCATGAATGCAAAAAACTCTTAATTTTATGAAAAATGACATCCTCAATATGGTATCAGCTAGTTTGTTATAATTTTAAATAGATTATAATGGCACAGTACATTTACCTGTAACTGACCCTGTTTACATTTGTTTTAATATTTGAAATGGAACAGAAAGCAACGGAATCTAATTATTTCACAATCTAATTAGATAATATGGCTTTATATCAGGACATAAAACATAATTGCATTGGTCTCAGAAAGCACACAGATAAGCATTATGATATTAACAAGGTTCCTCCTTCCTTCTTCCATTTACATTAGTGTTGCAACAGTATAGTTGGTGCATCACTCTTTCAGTTTCAGGTGGCAGGTGAGCTTGCTCATGGCCTGATTGGAACCAAGTGTTCTTTCTTGCCAGGAAAGGGGCAGGGAATGCTCTCAAGTTTGGCCAATGGATGGGGTCATGTTAGCTCACCTCTTTGCCATGAGACTGCCCCTGTGAAGCAGAGGACTCAGGCTCCTAGTGCTGTTGATCCCTCTGGCTGCTATCCTCTTCCGCTAACCTATGAGCTCTACCCCATATTTATTCATTTGTTGATCAACAAAGTGAAACTAAGTGCTTATAGGCATCATTTTTAAAAAAACTTCTCCCTTAGGCAGTTTCCTTTATTGTCTTGTAGCTACTGCTGAAACCTGAAAAGTCAGGATTTAGCTGAGCAGCCTGGTTTAAATTTGAAGGAACGAACCAGGATCCCGGAATGAGTGAAGCAAAGTTAGGACTTGGAGAAGGAAGTAATACGTGACCTGTCTGTCATATTTTGACCCCAAGAACTCTGTAGGCAAGAATTTGCCTGAGATTTGAAGCGCAAGAACTGTTCTCAAGGTTCTTAAAGCATTCATAAGACCAGGATAAAGTGCCTCCAGATATGCTGTTTAAAAGTGTTCAAATCAACTTTCACCTTCCTTGTTCAGAAAAAAATAGCAGATGACATCATCTTTACTTTGTGTGAACTGGTTTTCCACATTTGTACTTGCTCCGCTTTCCTATAAGGAGCTGAAATAGCAGATAATTGTTTATGCACTCTGGAATTCTAAAAATACTCAGTCAACCTCAGCACACTGAAAGAGTTGTGGCATCTTGTAACACTTCATTTAGCATGCAAGTGCTGATGCCCTGTCTCTATAAATTTTGATGCAGGGCAATTTTTCCCCGACTGCAAATTGGCAGGCATTCAGTGAGAACGGAATACTCTAGTTTTCCACCCAAAATAAGTCTAAGCACTGAATCATGGAAGGAACATTCTATGGAGACAGGTGTTTTGTTAAACATGTCCCAATTAAAAAGTTTATCTCATTTTCTAAAGAAAGTTTATTGGTCACTCGAAAGGAGCATTTATTATGCAGAATTAAACTCTGCTGGTTTCCAATCTTTAGATGGACCTGTCCTTGAGTTTGTACTAGAAATGGCATTTCATATTTGTTTCCCTGGGGAAATGAATACGAATGCTGTGGTGGCCCAATCCTGCCCCCACCCCAGATCTGGCCAGGCCACTTACTGAGCTCTCTGCAGAACTCAGTTGTGTCATCATCATCACATCAATCCCAGAAAGAACCCGACTGGCCCTTCCCATGCAACTGACCACTCATCGGCTGAGCAGGGAGACTCCCCATCCCACCTCCACACCAAAGTGGTTGGCTGCTCAGGGAGGCGGGGAAGGGCCGGTCAGGAAACTTATCACAAAGTGCCCATCCCTAATTTGTACCTATTTGATACAGAAGGGGCTTCCAAGATCTGATGTGGAATCTTCAGTGCATCAAGTGTTTAAAGGTATCATACTTCATGAAGCTGGATACATACCACAGTTTCATGTGATCGGACAGGTTGGATTAGAATCTATAAATATCCATGGAAGTGCTATATTAAACTATTATTTCTGTACTCATGAAACAAGCAGTACTTCTTTGTATGCTATCTCACTATTGGGAAACAAACTAATACACATATTTCCACAGTTGGAATACACATCTTACTAATGTTGTGTTATGCTTCAGTTCATCCAGAACAGTTGAGATTTTAACTTCTTCCCTTCCAAAAAGCTCCCTGAACATGCAAAGGGCAATTCATTAATTTTAATAATAAGAATCTTTTATTGGCATTCATAGCACAATCCATGTCTTGCCATCAAATCTATGACATATGTATAGAAATGGTCCCTTGTTGGCAAGGCAGTGAGGTGTGGTAAAAATTTAGATAGGATTTCTATCAAGTTGCTTTATATATTTTAGCAACTGTAATTCAAGGGGTCACCTTCTAAAAGTGCTCACTACTCAGAACCAAACTGTTTTGTCCATTATTCATCATGTTCTCAAAAACTGCAGCAGCTGCCAAATATCGGCTCTGTGTTTGTTCTGTATCAGTGGCTCCCAACCTTGGGCAACCCAGGTGTTCTTGGACTGCAGTTCCCAGAAGCCTTCACCACCAGCTGTGCTGGCCAAGATTTCTGGAAGTTGCAGTCCAAGGACACCTGGGTTACCCAAGCTCAGGAACCACTGTTCTATATGAAAGGTTAAGGAACGTCTTTCAGTCTAAAGACTGAATTCAATTTCAGAGAAGTTCTCATGGGTCAAATTCCAGTTCTGGCAAAAGGATAGGCTAAAATGTAAGCATATTTTATCTTAAATCTGTTACTGTTGAGAACTAAGCCTCAGGAGAGACATTTTGGCTTTTCACCATGCACAGAGACTGTGCAAAAGCTGGCAAGCCACCGATTGATGGTACCAGTGAAAGGGAAAGGCAGATTGGCCCAGGAAAGTCATAGCCCCGTTCATTACTTTTTTAGCTTTTTAAAAGCTTTTTCTTTGTTTTTCTTTTTTGTGAAGTGCCACTATTGGAATGGAAGCAAAAATACTACACATTCATGCACCAGATATCATGTTATCCTCTGTTGGGCGATGAAAATCCTGAGAATTATAATTTATGTATTCATGTAGTTGGGCTATTTCTCAGCTGCTGTATGTATATCCTAAAGGGTAGCACCATATTTGGCTGTATTTCCTCTCATTATACAGCCATATGCACACATCGTTTGTGGGATGAGGTATACTATCAATGAAATGATCTCATGTTGTGGGCATGGTCTTTTGTTGAATGAAATGCAAATGTCTACCCATTACTTCTAGAATATAAACTTTTTGTTTTGGCTTGAAAGATAGAACAGCATAATGATTCAATATCCATGTGATTATAAATATTTGGACAAAGGTTTTCTTTTAGCAGTTTTGTAATAAATACAGTTTAGATCATTTAAAAAAATAAGTACTGTAATGTGTCTGTTTGAAAAGACTAGAACTCTCATCACTCTTGGGGGGGGGGGAAATGAAATTTTCTGATGTTAAATTCTTACAGCTAATGAACTATGAGTAAAATCCTAGAAACAGAATTGTATACTTTAGGTGGGTCCCTTGTTCCATGGTAGAACACCTTTTTGCTGGCAGAAGAAGGCCACAGGTTTGATCTCCAGTTGAAAGGCTCAGGTCATCAGCAATGAAGAAGACCTTTACCTGGAGAATCAGTGCCAGGTGGAGTAAATGATACTGGTTTCATTGGGTAAAGAAGGTATTTGTGTCTCTAGCAAAGGACAGAAGTGGGGTCAGTGAGAAGAAATAACATGTAACACTGGTTCAGGATAGAAAAAAACATGACCATAATTTCATTGGTTAGAGCTGAAAGGCTTAGCCTCCCAGAGGGCAGGAATACATGTGCCAAATGACTTGTCAACCATCAGATGGGCCAACTGACTCAACCCACCTGTTAGGCTGATCTGGAGCCACAGGATGTGGGTACCACATAGGTACATGGCTGTTGCATACTTTGTCTACCACCTGGGCAACAAGGCCAGACTTCTTGCTCCTGAGTTAGGCCTCTTGGCAGTCTTTCCTTACCAACATATCTTGAGGGGATCTCCCATATGATATTCAGACATGCAGGCGCCATTACATCAAAACTGGATACGTTACAATGCCCTTTACCACCCCAATAAGAGGCTGTCACACTCCATGGTCTAGGCAACTAATGTCAAAGCTAATGCTGCTTCAAGCAAGCAAGAGCAGCATTTACCATTGTTACATAGTGAAGTACGGTATACTGTGCAGGACCCCATCAGGTCTGTAGAGATAATCTTGACATGAAGTGGTACAGTGGGGTCGTGACTTGAGAACTTAATCCGTATTGAAAGGCGGTTCTCAAGTCAAAAAGTCTGTAGGTCAAGTCTCCATTGACCTACAGTGCATTGAAAACCGATTAATCCCGTAACAGGCCGTTTTTGTTCCATTTTGGGTTTTTTCTGGTCTGTAAGTCAAATCTCAGTCTGCAAGTCAAACCTAAATTTTGCGGCCAGAGAAGTCTGTAACTCAAAAAGTCTGTAAGTCAAGCCGTCTGTAAGTCAAGGGTCCACTGTACATCCACCAGCCCCCAGCAGCTGCCCCAGGTCACCTGAAAGTTTCAGTAACTGCTAGCAATGCCCATGTTCTGGGGGTCCCAGACCACCTTTCAATTCTGAGTCTTCAGTAGGTCAGCTAAAAAAAAAAAACCCACACTGGGCATTATAAACTTTTAAACGGTAGAGACAGATTGGAGTGAAGACTAGAGATGGGGGTATTCATATACGAATACCTCCACAGAGGTGGTGATAACAAGGGTCCGGCCCCATGGTGCTGGATGGTCCACTCACCGATCTGCTGCTGCCACGGGCTCTGCACTAGCATCCTATCACTCCAGAGCTTGTGATTGGCGAGCCACTCTTCGACCTGGCAGAGAGGCTTGTTGTCCCACCTCCTGCCAGGAGTGGCTCACCAATCGCAACCTCCGGAGCGATAGGATGATAGTGCAGAATATGAATACCCCTATCTCTATTGAAGACTGTGCTTTTCTGGTATGCCTATTCAGTCCCAACTCCCAGTTCAGCCCATCCTCATCCAGTTGCCTGACTGTGAGACTGATGTCCATTGAGACTCCAAGGGTTCTGGGGCTGCCCATTCACTATGTGGAAGCCTTGAACATGGTGGCTGTCTATTAATTTTGTCCACTTTTATTAACTAAACTCAAATTCAAAGTAAAAAAACAAAAATAACACAGTAAGGTCAGCCAAAAAATCAAAGTTTAGTGATTTTTTGCTGAGGCCGAAAAATGTCTAGGCAAAAAAAAAAGCATATTAAGCAAAAGGTTAAGGCAATTCTCTCTCCAAGGTCATTAGGTAATGGGGGAAGGAGGGTAGGGTGAAATACATTTTTCCTTATCTTTTATAACTTTTCACTATTCTTTGGCAAGGCAGTGGAGTGTTTGATGGCTGTACAGCTTCACTAGCTTTCAGAATGGACTTTGGTTTCAGGCTAAGAACTGGGGGTGGAAACTGCTTTGATCAGCCTAGATAACATATACTGGGAAATAGAAGTGTATTGTATTGTGTTTACCTCATCCTCTCAGAGGCTTTCAGTACTTATTTACTTATTTAATATGCCATTTTTCTCCATAAGAGGTGGCTCCCAGTCAATTAAAACAACACAAAAGGCACAACTAGAAAGCAAACACCATAAGAGATGGTATTAATAAATAACAAAACACATAATTATATTTAAAACTACCTCAAATAAATATTTTAAATAAATCTGTGCTCCTGAATTGAATACTATTGTTTGTGGCCAAACACAAAACCATTGTAAAGCTGTATACTGTTGAGTCCAAGAAACATCAGGAAATACCTCTCTCTATGCTGGGTGGTGATACATATTTAATATTTTTGTGTACGTATATAAAAGCATATTACCTTCCTTTGGTTTAATTTGGATGAGCTGCTATAAATAAGTCTTATAAAGAAAACCACCACTCTTGGCCTCTGTATATTAGCCAGGTGAATATTACTTAACAATCAAAATTAGAATAAGTTTTCATTTGTTGCTGTTTAGCGGCAAGAGAACTGGCCTGGTTAGAGAAAGAAGAGAGAGCAAGGCAACATTATGAGAAACATCTCGAGGAACGTAGAAAGAAATTAGAAGAACAGAGATTAAAAGAAGAGAGAAGGCGAGCTGCAGTTGAGGAAAAGCGAAGGCAGCGATTAGAAGAGGACAAGGTAAGTGAGTTTTCCAAGGATATCTTCTGGGACGATGAATTTCCACTAGGACCAGTGAAAACGAGTTTACTTCAAAGAGGTCATGTTTGGATGGATAGTTGGTTTAGGAAAATTCCTGTTACAGGGGGATTCTGCAATGTATTTGGCTTTCTATGTGGAAAGGGGGATGGAATTAATTACATTTGCTGATCAGTGGAAGACTTGCATGCCGACTGAATGGAGAGTGAGAGGCTACTGTTTGAAACAAACTGCAGTATTATGGTCCCACCTAAACCAACCATCTACCTTGCCAGACGAAAGGAGGCTCTCACAGCCTTGTTTTGGATCCCAAACAGCACAAGTGTCTCTATAGGCACCTCACCTGTATGTATACTTCCCACTATGAACAGGCAAGAAGCTACTGAGGGCTGCTGTTGATTTTCTGGTAATAATACACATGGAGTAAAGAAATTTAGCATTTCTCGTTCAAAATGGGTTTTCGAACATGAGCACATTTTATTAATAATGACCACACTGTCACAGGGCTGTTTTAGATCAAGCAGGCTTAGCCTTTTGTTATCTTATTAGGAGCGTCATGAAGCTGTTGTGCGCCGGACAATCGAGAGGAGCCAGAAACCAAAACAAAAGCAAAATAGGTGGTCCTGGGGAGGTACCCTTCATAGAAGCAGCAGCGTTATTAATACAGGTAAAAGTGGAGGCCAGCTGTCCCAGTCTGTCTCACTGTCTTTGTGTTAATACGTATGTACATGGGTTTCTGCTGAGGAAGCCTCCTTGCAGATAGAATCTCATTTGAGTCTTGCATTGTACCTTGAGCTGTGCATGCATCTTACCTTTACGTCTGACAATCAAGAATAAGGAGATTAAACCAAGCCTTGGTCAACTTGCTGTTTTTAACCTCATCTGTATTTATCCTTAATTTGCTTTGTTGTTTCTCTGTGGCTTTGTCTGTGTGCCAACAGTCTCTCTGTCTAAGCTGTGCTTAAACTCATGTATTTGTTAGATAGTATTAAAATATGAGTATAAGGGAACACCAGATGAATTATTACATAAGTAACAAGGAATATGTTTCAGGAGTATATCAAAGCAGGAATAGATTTCATTGCTTTTAAATCCATGATTTGTGATCTCTGGGAAGGGTTTGATGTTGCCGAAGACTTGCATGCCGACTGAATGGAGAGTGAGAGGCTACTGTCTGAAACAAACTGCAGTATTATGGTCCCACCTAAACCAACCATCTACCTTGCCAGACGAAAGGAGGCTCTCACAGCCTTGTTTTGGATCCCAAACAGCACAACTGTCTCTATAGGCACCTCACCTGTATGTATACTTCCCACTATGAACAGGCAAGAAGCTACTGAGGGCTGCTATTGATTTTCTGGTAATAATACACATGGAGTAAAGAAATTTACCATTTCTCGTTCAGAATGGGTTTTTGAACATGAGCACATTTTATTAATAACGACCACACTGTCACTGTTTTAGATCAAGCAGACTTAGCCTTTTGTTATCTTATTAGGAGCGTCATGAAGCTGTTGTGCGCCGGACAATCGAGAGGAGCCAGAAACCAAAACAAAAGCAAAATAGGTGGTCCTGGGGAGGTACCCTTCATAGAAGCAGCAGCGTTATTAATACAGGTAAAAGTGGAGGCCAGCTGTCCCAGTCTGTCTCACTGTCTTTGTGTTAATACGTATGTACATGGGTTTCTGCTGAGGAAGCCTCCTTGCAGATAGAATCTCATTTGAATCTTGCATTATACCTTGAGCTGTGCATGCATCTTACCTTTACGTCTGACAAACAAGAATAAGGAGATTAAACCAAGCCTTGGTCAACTTGCTGTTTTTAACCTCATCTGTATTTATCCTTAATTTGCTTTGTTGTTTCTCTGTGGCTTTGTCTGTGTGCCAACAGTCTCTCTGTCTAAGCTGTGCTTAAACTCATGTATTTGTTAGATAGTATTAAAATATGAGTATAAGGGAACACCAGATGAATTATTACATAAGTAACAAGGAATATGTTTCAGGAGTATATCAAAGCAGGAATAGATTTCATTGCTTTTAAATCCATGATTTGTGATCTCTGGGAAGGGTTTGATGTTGCCAGCATATGTAATATTAATTAATATTGAAAATCTCTTAGTGGTGTTCCCTGACTTCTGAAAAAAGTGGATTTTTGGAAAAAAAATCAAGCATTAAGAAAATTATGGAATTACGATTCATCTCTGTTTTATTAACCCCCCCCAAAAAAACTTATGGGTGTATATATTGATAAAAGCATAAATATGGATCACTTTTATTCTAAAGTGGTAGCTAGTATAGTTTACATATATATATATACTTCTTCCTTCTATGCAAACTTGTTGTTTACTTCATTATTATGAACAAATTTGTGTATCATTGTTTTTACAAAGCACCACAGCTTCGTATTATTATTCTTTTCACTGTGCTAAAAGATCAATAAATAGCTGCTTTTTCATAGCAATGTTCTACCTGTTCTCTTTGCTTCTCTCTGTATAACTTGTTTGCTGTGTTTTCTTTTCTTTTTAAAATCATTGTCTTGCATTCTGTTTCTAGGTTATTTTGTTGAATCATCATTCACCTTTCTCGATTTAGCAGGCTTGGAGTACCACTTCAGACCTCTGGGTGGTGCTAGAAAACCCGGTACATAAATCACTGTGGTTTGTTGATTTTTGTCACCAGTAGTTGTCTCTTCAGAATAGGATCAGTACTTCAGTAACTAAACCATCCCTTATTAGACACTGTGCATGCCTAACATTTGCCGCATAGCATAGAGCTGATAGCCCCTGCTATCTTCCTCAAATTTACTGAGTTACGCTTGGGTGACTAAAAGAATGTGGCACAACTTTTTAAAGGAAAATGTATAATTTCATTCAGTGCATGTAAAGTATTTAGTGTTCCTTTTTACCTCAAAAATGTACAGACAACACTTATCTCAGGGTGCTGGGAAACTTCTTTAAAAACACAGTCTTTAAAAAGTGCACTGTGTTTTGGCTTATTAATATTCCTTCTTCATAAAACAATAAAAAATATAAACAAACAACACATGAATGTATTTATGTACAGTAAATATAACAAATTATATGCACATTGACTTAATTGTACACTGCATGAAAGGAATTGCATTAATTTACTTACACAGAAAAAGCAGTCTGCAAAAATTTCTTTTGGGAGTCTCCAAATTAATTCACTCAGAGTAAGCGCATGAAAATGGAAAGGAAATGGCCAGAATCCTATTGGTATTTGCATTTGTGTAATTCACCATAGCTAATTGTAGTTAATTGACAAGATGCTAGGGCAAATCTTGGTTGCATAATCAAGTGCATGACCAGGGATGCAAGCAAGACATGCCCTGACACCTCATCAATTAGCCACAATACCCACAGCAAGTTATGCAAAGCGTACACAAACACGAACAGGGTTCTAGTCTGTGAATTTTATTCTTCCTACCAGGGTTGTATACAGCTGCAGGGTGACAATTATATTCAAGGGTCATTTTATCTTGAAATACCTGGGATAAGAAAGGGGAAGGAATTTTTTTAAAAAATCCCAGCTCTCTAGATCTTACACTAAAGGAATAGAAGAAAATCTAGTTTCTCATTTAGACACAATGGAACCAAAGATTCCAATTCTGAAACCCATTCAATGTCTTTGTTTAGTGGGATCTTATCTTTAGAATCTTTTGTTTCTGTTGCCTAGCATCTGATGTCTATTGCAGACTGTGTGCCACAGAATAGGATACTTGGTGTCTGACACCTGTTTTGGATAAATAATTTTATTTCAGTCTTAAAAACTGTCTATACAGAAGGTTAGTTGTAAGGGCTTCAGACTGAGAGCTTTCAACAATAGATAGTTGTTAACATTTGCGGATTTTGTATTTTATATTCAACTCCATCTGTACTTTCATATCTAAGAAATAAATTTCTGATCAGTTCTAATGAATGTCAGAGATGATTTGGGCATTCTTAGTGCTAATGCACCCACAAATAGTATTGAGAGTCCCTTGACTCCTTCCCCATATAGTAAATACTTCATCAGTGGATCTGAATCAAACTGCAGGTTGCTCAACAAACAATCCTCCTAGACAAATAATGCTCAAATATTTCCATACATAAATTCTCCACTTCAAGGGGTCATAACATAACCCATTGCAACTCATTTTATTTGACAATAAAAACTAAGTTCAAGGTAAAATAATTCTTAGAGCCATCTGCATCAAGGAAATGAGAAGGGAGGATGTTTTTCTTCTTTTCTGCCCCATGTGTGATGTATCACAGGGGGAAAATTAGAAAATATAATGTATAGGCAACTCATATTTTGTCATGCTTTTATAAATGTGTTCATGTGTTGTCTCAGACTCCCCCCCCTTTCCTTCCACCCAGTGATCTAATGGATTCTACTGGAGCCTTGGGATCTTTGGAGAAGGAATTGGAAAGGTTTTATTCCCCCCCCCAAAAAAAAAATTACTGATGACATCTTGAGCCTTACATTGCCTAAAACATACTTCTGGATTTCAGCTACTGTTTTTCAGCATCCTGAAATATGTCCTTTGTGTGTGTGGCTTCCAGTTCAGTATTTTCAAATTTTTAGCTTTTCAGCCTCTGAAACAATTTCAAAAACCTTCTGCAAGATAATTGACTTATTTAACCAAGCTCAAACTATCACTGTCTCTGCCTCTCTTTCCTTCCCCTTTGTAAATCCTTTCAAATTGGGTATCTATCATTCAGTGCTCTTGAAATATCTATTACATGCTCACTATGGTGCAGCTACTTATTTTGCAGAATTGGAAGAGGAGTGTGATTATTCTTAGGTTTCATTCCTCCCTTTCCTCTTGCCCCAGCATGCAACCTCTGTCTCACCTATACACTCCCTCAGACCATGTAGCCTTTCCAAACATGCCTGCATCTGCCTCTCCTCCTAATAATTATTGGGTTTTTTTTTCTGACCACTTTTTCCCTCTCTGGCTTCTGTGATCACTTTCTGCAAAGAGTAGCTTGTTGGGGAAAACTGTTTTTAAGAAAAAGAGGAAGAATGTCCAATCTGTGAGCAAAGTGACAACTGTTTTCTTATACAGAAATAGCTAATTCTCCTGGGCTGATGTATGTTAAAGAAGAAATGGCAATGTAGCATTACAATATACCAGGAATTCTACACTGTGATGACTAGAAAACTGTGGAAATGAAAATACCACAAAGTGGAGAACAGAGGAATGAGTGCATAAATATGCAAATGAGGCTTTATGAAAGAGGTTGGGTTAAATAGGACTGTAGAACACCTGCCCAACTGGCCATTTTGGTAGTGGATGGTTTTTAGAAGACGTCAACCATACTAGCAGGGAGAAAAACGACCTCAAAGTATTTATTTGCCTTTTATTTAAATATATCATGCAGTACCCAAGGCAGTTGACGACATCCAAGATAACTATACAGCATAATAAATACTGTGGCCAAAATCTTGTTGTATAGAATAGTAAGTTACACTAGAGTAGGCCCACTGAATCAGTGGGGATTTGGTGAGCCAGCTCCTGCATACGTTTTTTATGACTTTAAGTGGCCTACTCTGGTTGCAACGTACTGTGCTAAGCAACAGTATTTTGGCCACTATGTTAACAAACAGACAAAGAGAAATATGGGTGTGTTTGGATCAAAAAACTAGTTAAGAGCTAACTGGATAAAATTATTGGATATTGGCTTACATTTTATACGATTTATCTGTAGGAGTCCTGAGTCAGCCTAATCTTTCACTTCAACTCTTTCTTTCTTTCTTTCTTTCTTTCTTTCTTTCTTTCTTTCTTTCTTTCTTTCTTTCTTTCTTTCTTTCTCTGTTACTGACTTTATTTGCCACTCTCTCAGCTGAACATAGAATCCTGAAGCATCCTGGTTCACAAGGTTACCTTTCTCAATAAGAAAGTGTTTTATTTTTCAAATTTCTGTTTCCTTTTATTTTGGTTGTGTTTGAGTGTAATATCTCTCTATAACTTTCCATTTCCCCAAGACTAGCTTCTTCATTCTGATAATAAGCATCTTTCTTTCTTTCTTTCTTTCTTTCTTTCTTTCTTTCTTTCTTTCTTTCTTTCTTTCTTTCTGACCTTATTTGCCACTCTCTCAGCCGAACATAGAATCCTGAAGCATCCTGGTTCACAAGGTTACCTTTCTCAATAAGAAAGTGTTTTATTTTTCAAATTTCTGTTTCCTTTTATTTTGGTTGTGTTTGAGTGTAATATCTCTCTATAACTTTCCATTTCCCCAAGACTAGCTTCTTCATTCTGATAATAAGCACAATGAGATAAAAGTGAACATCTCATTATGTTTATTCTATGCTGGTACATTCAAATTTGTCTCATAAAAATATAAATTGCTGCTTGATTGAATGAATAACTATGGAAAGTTGGCTTCAGCTTGACATTTACAGTGTAATCCTATACATATCTGCTCAGAAGTAAATCCTATTGATTTGAGTTGGAGTTACTTTCAGGAAATTGTGTATAGGATTACAACCAAAATCATGTTGTGCCCAGTCTTTTAGTCACTCCTAAAGACCTTACTTTTAAGGCATTATTCAATAGATTTTTAAAAACCTTTTATTTACACTTCCTTCTAGAGGACTAGGAACTTGCATTGCTGCATGTAGGCTGTCAATTAGCATTATTTCCATTTGTTTTAGATCCAGACAGGAGATCTGTTTCAACAATGAACCTTTCGAAACATGTTGATCCAGTCATTAACAAGCGGCTCTCCTCCTCATCTGCAACATTACTAAATTCTCCAGACAGAGGTACAGTTTAAAGAATAACAGTGGAAAAGAAAAGGTCTAAAAATGTTCTGTACTCTGACTTACTTATTGTGCAAAACCTCAGCAGATCTTGAGTCATTTTCTTTACATTACTAGAGAAAAGGAAAAAAAGGCTTAAAACACAAGGCCACATTTTGGCAAGAAAAAAAAAATCACGTATTTGAAAAAAAAATCAGAACTTCCCTCAATCAGTAATTGCTAAAAGCAGTGCTTCTGTCAGGTTTTTTAGTAAATGAATTTTGCGAAATAGAGAACAGTTCATTTCTCCATAGTGCATGGAATTCATTCTGTTTTTTTCCCTGTATCACCACTTGACCATACTCATTTGGTTTTTATTTATTTCCTCATTTTAAAGAAACAAAAAAACAAAACAGCTTTTGAATTTTTCCATGTAAGATTAATTGCTGGCTAAAAACCTGAATGTCCATTGTCTCTATTTTATATCTTGACTTTGTTTTAGAGAGAGGCTTTATTCCAAGTTATATTTCATTCTTTATGAGTTTCTTAATGGAAAGAAGGATGATGGGCTTCTGTGTTTATTCAGTAGTTTTATTACACATAGACGTTAACTTTTCCCCTCTCTTTAGAAACCGGTAGATATCAAATGTGTTCCTTTAATGTTAACAAATATTTCCAAGGAGTATTATACTTTGGTTGAATGCAGAAACACATGTTTGTAATCAAAAATTGTATTTGAATTTTGGTTATATTGTGAAACTGGTTGGAAAGTCCCATGTGTTTGGTAAACACGTGCTGGAATCTTATGTGCACTTACTTGGTAGTAAGTCCCATTGACCTCAATGGAACTTATTCCAGAGAATCCATGCATAGGATGGCTCTGATTGTTTTTAAAATGTGTGGGATTTGTTTACTGTATTTGTGTGATTTTCTGCATGTTTGGAAACATGTATGTGCTATGCTGTGTTAAATGCTAGGCTAACAATTCATCTGTGAATGCTCGGCTAACAATGCTAGGCTAACAATTCATCTGAGATACTCTGAGAGGTGACTAATCTCATTATACAGCTTTTTAGGCAACAAAGCACAATTGATCAGAAATTGTTTTTTTAAGGGCAATAGCTTTTTCTTTTCCATACTAATTAACTAAAACTTGCAAAGAATTTTTTCAAAAAAATTTAATTCTTCTTTGAAGGTTGGGTGTTGCAGATCCATGATAACACATATAAATTATTAAATCAACTCTTCTTTGAAGGTTGGGTGATCCATGATAACACATATAAATTATTAAATCAACAAAAGGCTCTATTGAGGATCCAGAAAAAACACAAGTTCCAATTATTGAGTCTTTTGCTACTGGAAATCCAGCACAATTAATGCAAACAACATCTAGTGAAGTCATAAACAGTTGTGCAGCGACTAGTGCAATATTTTAATACAGGTTTTTGTGCTTGCACAGCAGACTCAAAATACTGGATTTGGCACTTTCATGAAGATGGAAAAAAGGTTCCCCGAGTAAAAGATGGGCATGTGCACATGTGCCTGAATGTCCCCAGATAATATTATTGAATCCATAGATACAATCCATACATTGTCGCAGTGATCATAAGAGACAAATGGGTCAGTGTTAATAATTTTGCAATAAATTGTTGTAATATACTTGGCATCAGGAGTTCAAGTTCCGGATGGGTGCATTTGCAGCCACGGTATGGTGGTGGAGTTTGTTTTATTTCTTTTATTTTGTTTTATCTTGATATTCTGTTAAGTTCATAGCGCTGCCAACAGACATAATTATCCAGAGTCAAAGTATTTTGTTGTTGGGAGTTTAAGATGCTTATTCACAAACCTTGGAGCTGCTGCTAAGTTAACTGGGTGCTGTTATCTCTGGCTTAGTCACTCCCATTCCTCCAATCAAGGTTAATTGCAGCCAGGAGTTTTTCCTACACTTGTAACTCTGAGTTGGATTTTTGGTAGCTAGTTGTTGAAAGGAAAGGGCTGAACTGTATGGGGAGTATCCCTGCAGATCGAGCATGGAGCAGCCCCTTGCAAGGGTGGTGAAACAACTGAAGACTGATGCGTTTGTAATATCCAACTGCCCCGTGAGTAACCTTTCTACATTACCTATAGCTTCCAGCATTATCACTAACAGCAGATTTGCATTGTTGAGAAATGAAACCCTCTCATCCCTATCAGGCGCTTGTGACTTATCTGCAATTTCTACTCCTTGCCCCCCACCCCCACCCCAAGAAAGTATGGTTCTCCTCTGAAAGAAACCATGCCAACTTCCTAGCTGAACAATGTATCTTAACAGCCCGAACAGTAATTGCCATCTTTGAAAATTTACAACGGGTCTGTAATCAAATGAACTCAGTTGAAAGTGCTCTGGGGAAACTTGTTGAGGCCCTTCTTCAATCAATGGATAATACACACACCAGGGGGTTCAAAGAAAGGGCGGTTGGTAGATTTAGCAGCAAAGACAGCATACGGCAACCAGTTCCACAACAATTGGCTTCCCAACTGAAATGGGAGGCAAACTGCTCAAAGATCTTTCAGAGCACTCAGGTGATATTACAAATTGCTCCAATTAACATCAACAGAAAGAGATGGGAGACACACAGATCAGTGATGATCTCCTTGAGTCAGCTGTTCAATATAGAAGCACAAAAGATAGACCTCAAGAATATTCGATGGCTCCCACATAAGTATGGTCAGAAAAAAGTCTGTCTCACCTTTGAACATGCTGTGATCACTCTCATTCTCTTAAAAATGAGAACTTATCCGGGCAAATTTCAGATTACTCCCTCGAGAGTTTTTTCTGAACCAATGGCTTTGCCCCCCATACAGATCAAGCCTCCTTCTTTGATCCCTGGGAGCAATCCTCCAAGAGTAACCAGAGAAGATTCCAACTTTAGATTTGGTTCTAATGCTGGGAAATCAATAAGGATAGAAGCAAAGAACTTAACGATTTCCCTGTTAGCTGATCACAGGAATCCCCTTTGTAACAGAGAGGAAAGTCAAGCTCCCTTGATTGACCTTAACAATAAAATGGAAGTCAAAACTAGTGTTGCTTCCCTATGTAATAAGACCGTATCACTGAGAAGTAACCTAATAACGGATGACTCGGGCTTACAAGCCAAAGCTGCACCCTTCAACCAATATCTAACAGCAAGTAATGATATCAGCTTGATACGAGAACCTAAGCAAGATTCTAAGCACCAGATGCTACCTCATCAGGACATTCTGATTCTGATTTCCTTATATAGTAAAGAAACTGAAAACAGCAAAAGTCATATCATGTATGGGGCTAGTTCATGAGAATCATTTGATTCCGAACCTTGAACATTAGCTACTCAGGAGAAGGTCACGGCTACCCATCTTAGCCACTTAAAAACTGTATCTCAACCTACTCTACTACAACACAGACATTCACCACCTTTGTACGACCGACATGGCTATGCCTCTTAATCTTAACATTCAGAATCCCCCCTCATCTCCTGATCTTATGGACTGACATAAACACATAAATGACACCATCTCTGTTCTATCATGGAATATAGCAGGATGGAATGCAAAGAGTAATTGCAAATTCTTTATCAAGTATCTTTCTAAGTTTGATATCTTACCGCTGCGAGAGACTTGGGCACTAGAGGAAGTTGAAGTAAATTGTTACTCTGCCCATCAAATAAGTGCCCTCCCAGTGAAAAGAAGGGCAAAGCTAAGGGCAGTCTTCTTAAACTGGTTTCAACTAAGCTCCGTATTACAATGACCAAATTTCCCTCCCTTGATCAATATGCTGCAATAGTGAGGGTCAAATTTAATCATAGTGCAATGGTGTTCATCAATGTATATTTACCACCAGAGCTGGAACGCCCAGATCAAACAGATTCACCAAGACCTTGAATCCTATATTCAAAAGCTTTTGTTAACTAATGATGACCCCCAAATGATAATTGGGGCCAATTTTAATGTCAGATTAGCTACAAATGACTTGGCTCTTTATGCTGTTTATAACTTATGCCCTCCTGATGGTGTACACTCCCCCATAGTCACTAGGTGCCTCTTTAAAGATACCATCAGTAATTATGCAGATCTTAACCTGGCACGGCTAGTTTATCAGCTTGACCTACATGTATTAAATGGAAGCACTACAGGTGACATACCAGGGGAATTCTTTTTCTGGCCAGGAACAAGGATGAGTATCATAGATTGCGTGATTGTCAGCCATAATATATTGAATACTGTCATCTATCTCAGTGGTCCCCAACCTTGGGCCTCCAGATGTTCTTGGACTTCAACTCCCAGAAATCCTGGCCAGGAGAGATGGTGATGAAGGCTTCTGGGAGTTGTAGCCTGAGAACATCTGGAGGCCCAAGGTTGGGGACCACTGATCTATCTGGTGATTGACAGCAGGATTTATAGTGATCACCTGCCATTACAATTGCACCTGAAGTTACAAGAATGGCATATTCATGTTGAGAAGGCCTTGCCTATGAATCCTGAGATGAGACTAACCAATTTCAGGATCAAACGGTCAGGAAAAGCCTCAATTTATTTTACTAATCAACTCAATAATAATCAGTTCTCTAAGATCCATTCCACCCTTCTCAAAGCAGGTTGAAGTAGCAACATAATTGCACTGTATGACACATTAATAAATAAACTAGTAGATTTAGCTGGTACAAACAACTCAACAAAAACCTGTACTATCAAGCACAGGTCCGATAACTGGTTTGATAAGGAGTGTATTGATGTAAAAAAAAAAAACCTGGTAATTTCATAATTCAAACAAAATAAAAATCCATCATCAAAGAAAGTGGAGGAACTGCTGCAACTTAAGAAAGGCTATAAGAAATTAATTAAATAAAAAAAGTAGAGCTCAACAGATAGAATGGGAAAAAACTCACCAAAGCAATCAGGGGGAAAGATATGAAATCACTTTGGGAATCCATAACATTAACTACCAATAGTCTTTCAGTTAGGACGGACTGCTATATTAATGCTCGAGTGTAGGAAGCCCACTTCCA